TAATAAGAAATAATATATCTTGGATATCAGCCCAATAGACAGATATATAATATATAAATATCTCCAACCATTTCCTAGACTTTCATATTGGTGGATGTTAATCTTTTTCTGAAATACCAAGGCATTTTTCAAGTTTACAATTCTAACTGAATACTTTTTTAAAAAATGTAGCTACTCTAGAGAGGCAGGGAAATCTGGAACTCTGAGCACTTCTTCCTGAAGCAAATTCTAGAACATCTGCACAAAACAGATGAAACACAGATAAAACTTATGTTTTCCACAGCAGTGAACAATTCTGTACAAATCCTGATCTATCTAAAAGACATCTTCTGACACCAAAAGCCTTGGTCACTGTGTTCAAATATTTGAGACCTGCTGCGTATGTGCACCAGGAAGGACTACCTTTGTCCACTTGTCCCAAATCTATGACAGGTCTTCTGAATACTACAGTGTATCTACCTCTCTGACAATCAAAAGTAGTAAATTCTGAAATAAAGACAGTGACTCACACATAGAATTATCATAAAAAGCATAGATCCAAGCATTTATTTGCATTAAAAATATCATTTAGGAAAAAAATAATACAAATTGAAAGATTTTTTTAAAAAATGCATTTTCAGGTGAAGTGAAGATACGCACTGAGTTAAACTCTATACCTGGGCTAGTCAGGAACCCATGGTACTGATTCAACAGATGACTAGGGGTGATGTCACAGTAACAGGAAAGTTACCTTGCCTTACAAAGTCTTACTTATGACACAAATACACAAAAACTAATAAATGAAAAATAATCTTTTCAGTAGTAAATTAGGGTTTAACAAAAGCCTTCAAAAATGCTTAAAATCCCAACTAAGAAAACCCTTTAAATTAAAAAGAACTTCAAATGTGTACCCCTAACGATGGTATAGTGCCACAAAATGCAAAGAACTTCCAAAGTACTTAGTTACTGATAATAGGTGTGCTTATTCATTTATTGCTTAATTGAATTCCAATTTTTAAAAGTCTTTAAAGCATTTCCTCTATTATTTCAACTTTGTGAGAATGGTTTTACCTCTTCTTCAATTTCAGAGGTGTTAAGTTCATGTTTTTGACAGTAAGGTCCTTCTTTCCAAGCTTCGGGATCACCACAGTCACAGAAACCGCCGCCTCCTGAAGTGGTCATCTTGAGGAGAGATTGTAAAGTCTCTGTCAGTAAGTATTTACTGAGTGCCATCAGATAAGGGATGAGAACAACATCAC